TAGCTTCACACTAGGGAAAAATAGTTCTCAAGCTAAGCGTTCTCCTAATTATTTGGCGAACCAAAAGCATCAAACTTTTGGAAAGTTTGTTTTTGAGAGTTTCTTCTCTTCAGAGAGCAAAAGAGTTTTTGAAGCTCCACTGTAAGATCCTGTTCTTCATCAAGACCCATTCTGACTATCTACAGCAGGGGTGTCCAAACTCGTTCCTGGAAGGCCAGTGTCCTGCATATTTTGGTTACATACAACCCCAATTAAACATACTTGAACCAGCTAATCAAGCTTTTTCTAGGCATGGTAGAACTTTCCAGGTTGGTGTGTTGAAGGAAGTTGGAGCTAAACTATGCAGGACACCAGCTCTTCAGGACAGAGTTTGGACACCCCTGATCTACACTCTCAAAAATAATGGTTCCAAATGCTGTTTTTAGTAAGAACCATTTTTAGTACAACAAAATACCTTTCAGTGAATTGTTCTTAAAATAACTTTTGGTCCCACTTTATATTAAGTGGCCTTAACTAATATGTACTTACACGGGAATTAATTTTTGTTACAATGTACTTATTGTGTAAATACATGTATTTACTGTGTACTTATGCTTGAATAATACATGTATGTAATTACATCTGTAATTAACTTTTGTAATTACATTTGTAAATACACTGTTGACCATCCCTTACACCTTAACCCACCCTTAAACCTACCCATACCACCAAACCTGTTCATAACCCAACCCCTTTTCCAACTCAAAACCACCACAAGTGTTCTCAAATACATTATAAACACAGTAAGTACATTGTATTTATTTATTTATTTTTTATTTTTTGATGCAAGTACATAGTTAGGGACACTTAATACAAAGTGGGACCTAACTTTTTTCCACTATAATGAAATGTTTTGCTATGGAGAGGCTCTGTGGATGTAAAAGGTTCTCATGGAACCTTGCCGTTCTCCTATGGAATGATTCAAAAACTGTTTCTCATTGTTGGGTTTTGAAACACAGTTTAAAGATTGTTTTTGAAGAAATAAAAAATGATCAAGAAATCTCTACAATAAAAGTTCTAAAGAGATGTTTAGAGAAAAATATATACTTGGAGTTCCATAAAGAACAAGATAAACGGAGCTTCTTTTCAACCATAAAGAGCATTTTGTGCACTGAAAGGGATGGTAAAGATTAATCCTGGAATGATTGTGAGTTAAAAAAAACAACATTTGGGTTCCTTAAAGAACTTTTCTGTGAGTAGTTTCTTCTCAATGAATATCTACAAATATCTAATCAATCATACAGTACACGCACTCTGCACAGAAACAGAGACTCTTATACAAAACTTCTGATTTTAAGAATTCGAGCTGTAAAAAATAATTGTATGCACCAAAAAGTCTCTACACTAATAGAAATAAGATTCCCAAAGAGCCTCTTTGAGAGAGGGTTTCTGCAGTTATGACACAGAACCACTTTTGGTTCCCCTACAATCATTCAGTGATCAGTTAGTGAAGAACCGTTTCCCTTCTCTAAATACCCTCTAACTCTGTCAAGAACCTTCTGTTGAATTGAAGATTTCCATGAATGGTAGTTTTTAGGAACCAGCTAAATAAAGAGCCAATGTTGAGGTTTCTGCAGGTTTTATGATGGTAAATCTTTAAAGACTTTTTAAAGATTGTTTTAAGACTAAAGAAGAAAAAACAATACAGCAACATGTTTAGAACTATTTGTAATGTTTAGGAAACACACGAACAGCTGTTTTTTACAGCAACATTTCAATGTTAAAATACAAAAAGATGATCGGACTTACTTTTGAAGTACTTTTACATCGAATATTTCAAAATTCTCTGAATAAACCTCATGAGTGTGGAAATCATTTAAGACCTAAATTCACAGAAAAAGACCTGTGGAAACCCTGAATGTGTTTAATTGTGAATTAACATCAAAGGTTCTTCCCAAAATCACAGATATCAATAAAATCTGAAAAACTAAAGGTTCCAAACGTGTTTTTCACAGTAACAAATAACCATTTCAGGTTCACCAAAGAAAGAACCCTTTAGAGTGAACAACATTTAATAGTCTGAAGTATCATCATCCACTATGAAGAACCTTTTGTGAAGAGATTCAAAGGATGTTGAACATTCTTAATGAAACCCTCAATGACAAAAGTCCAACAGGTACTAATATGGCACTAATTTGTACCTTCTGAAAAGGCAGTAACAGCTCTCATGCCTTGATTTCTGAGAGTGTATAAGCCATAAAGCACTTCTCTTCTCTGAAATGGTTACATAAATGTGGTTCTTAAGCCATTACAAGTTTCTTGTTCAAACTAATTAGAGTACAAGAAACCATTACACTGCAGCGAGAACTTTTAGGCAGTTCCTGAGCTGTCAGAAGTACACAGAAATAACAGTACAATATCTGTCACTGTGATGGTAACTTTACAAAAGAAACCCCTTTGTACTTTTAGGTATACTAATATGTGCCTTTAGGATACAATATGGACCTTTTTTATATCAGTATGGATTCTTTAATTATTAATATTCATCTCTAAGGTATTAATATGGACCCTTGAAAGTGTAATAATTTAATTAAAAAGATTCCACCTCACTTTTTTCTGAGAGTGTATAAGCCATAAAGTACTTCTCGTCTCTGAAATGGTTACATGAATGTGGTTCTTAATTGAACACTAAGAAAACTTCAATTTATTGAGCCGCCATTTATTTTTCTTGTTCAAACTAAGAGTACAAGAAACCATTACACAACTGAGAGAAAATTTACGATGTTCCTGAGCTGTCAGAAGTACACCCAAAATAATAATCTGTCACTGTGATGGTGCCTTTACACTTTTTAGGTATTAAAATGTGTTTTAAGGTATCAAATCAGGAAAAAGAACCAAACCTACCACAGCTATGCTGATGAGACTCAAATTTACATAGCCTTATTGCCAACAGCCTTATTGCCTACAGCCCTATTGACATCCTTTGCCAATGCATTGATGAAATTAACAGTTGGATGTGCCAAATTTCTCTTCAGTTGAACAAAGAGAAAACTGCACTTCAGTGCATTTGGGAAACAGAGATGAGGTTCACAAGGTGAATGCGCACCTTGGCTCTAAAGGTCAAACAACAAAAATTAAGGTCAAGAAGAGTGTGATTCTGGAGTCAGATCTGAGTTTCTGTATTCATGTCAAAGCAGTTAGTAAATCAGGATACTATCATCTCAAGAACATTGCAAGAATTAGATGCTTTGTTTCCAGTGAGAACTTGTTCATGCTATTATCAGCAGCAGGGTGGATTACTGTAACGGCCTCCTCAAGGGCCTTCTCAAAAAGACAGTCAGACAGTTGCAGCTCATCCAGAACGCTGCGGCCAGGAATCTGACCAGAACCAGAAAATCAGAGCACATCACCTGTCCTCAGGCTCCCAGTTACATTCAGAATAGATTTTAAAAGTATTACTCTTGGTCTATAAATCACTAAATGGCCTAGGACCTCAATACATTACAGATATGCTCACTGAATACAAACTTAACAGATCACTCAGATCTTCAGGATCATATAAACTAGAAATTCCAAGAGTTCAGTCAAAGCAGGGTGAATCAGCCTTCAGCAATTGAACCACAAAGAACCTTTAATTTACAGTCGCCATTTGTGTTTCTTGTTCAAACAAATTAGAGAAAAAGAAACCATTATAGTGCTGAGAGAACATTTAGGATGTTCCTGACCTGTCAGAAGCACTTAGACATCAATAAAAGTACAATATCTGTCACTGTGGTGGTACCTTTACACTTTTCAAGTAGTCTATATGTGCCTCTAGGGAACAATACTGACCTTTTAGACATAAATATAGACTCTTAAGTTACTAATATACACCTCTAAGGTGAAAATATTGACCCTTTAAGTACAAAAGTGTAATAATTTAATTAAAAAGATACCACCTACAGCTCTCGTACCTTTATTTCTGAATGTATAAGCCAAATAAAGCACTTCTCTGCTCTGAAATGGTTCCATCAATGTGGTTTTTAATTGAACCACAAGAAACCTTTACCTTAATGAGTCGCCATTTGTGTTTCTTGTTCAAACTAATTAGAGTACAAGAAACCATTATAGTGCTGAGAGAGGATTTAGGATGATCCTGAGCTGTCAGAAGCACACAGAAATAACAGTACAATACGTCATTGAGGTGGTGCCTTCACAAAAGTAACTCGTTTGCACTTTTTAGGTAACAAAAGTGCCTTTAAGGTGCAATATTGGCTTTTTAGAGATCAATATGGATTCTTTAATTACTAATATTCACCTCTAAGATAGCAATATGGAGCCTTTCAGTACAAAAGTGTAATCATTTTAATAGATGCCACTCCAGTGACAGCTCTCGTTCCTTTATAAAGGCTTCCATGAATGTGTATCTTAATTGAACCACAAATAACCAGTAATTTAATGAGACACAATTTGTTTTTTTTCGTTCAAACAAATTAGAGTACAAGAAACCATTATAGTGCTGAAAGAACATTTAGGATGTTCTTGACCTGTTAGAAGCACTTGGAAATAAATGTAAGTAAAATATCTGTCAGTGTGGTGGTACCTTTACACTTTTTAAGTAGCATAATATGTGCCTTAAGGGAACAATACTGACCTTTTAGGCATAAATATTGATTCTTTAATTTCTAATATGTACCTATAAGGTATCAATATTGATCATTAAGGAACAAAAGGGTAATAAATGAAAGATACCATCCCAGTGACAGCTCTTGCAGCTTTATTTCTGAGCGCGTACGCAAATGCCTAGCGTAACGTCTTTAATAGATAATACCCTCCGCTGTTGAAACCTGAAGCCCAACCGCACAGACCAGCAGCGGATCTGTTGCTCTGTCCTCCTGGATACTGTTACACCTTTACTTTTTGGTGGAGAAGCAAGACAGACGCAGGGTGGGAGGGCTGTTTCAACACACACCGACTCATGGAAACACAACTCATCTCGACAGAGCCCAATGAGGAAGATCACATGCAAATAAAGCACTCACTTGTTTTTGTCGCTCATGTTGACAATTGGCGTCCTCTTCTCCAAGAGAACCACTTTCTTCTTATGGAACTCTGGATTAAAAAGTGCGTCCGAGCGAGAAACTCTCTCTTAAAGAAGTGCGATTTCGCTCCAAGTTCAAGCGCGTCTGGATGCGTAAAGCAGAAACGCTTTCAGTTGAGTTTATCTGGAGCCAGAGATGTTTCACCGCTGCTGCTTCTACAAACTACAGTACATTCGGGCAGTCCAGCAGTCATTCCGCAGCGGGATCAGGAGCTCTCTCTGTCCGGTCGAGAAACGCGTGGCGTCGCGCTCCGCAGGCTCGTCTTAAGTCTTGATCCATATTTAAAGATCTCGCCCTCCTCCAGCGTGACGCAGCAGTGGGAGGATGAACAGACAGACACATACACAACACATGAGAGATGCAGCACTGTAGAACAAGACCTGCATCCGTTTTTAGGGTTCACACTATATTTGAATTACACTAAAGAAGTCATCAAGCTGTTTTTCACTTACTTCATGTAAAAGCTGTATTAAAAGATCAGATTTTTTTTTCTTTTATCCAATTCCACTCATGCAATTCAAATATAATGTGAGCCCTAAAAAGTAATGCAAAAAACGTATTAGAGGCAGTGAATTTTTTTATCCACTTCAAATGTCGACTACTGTAATTTAAATAAAGTGTGAACCCTAAAGTCAACATTTGAAGTGGATCCAAACAATTAAATGCTTCTAATACAGCCTTTGCATGAAATACGATTAAGCAAAAAACTTACATGAAATGACATGACTTCTTTACTGTAATTCATTTCAAATATACTGTAGTGTGAACCCTAAATAAGTCATGCAAACAATATTACAAGCCCTGGATTTTTAATCCACTTCAAATGTTGTCTAGGGTTCACACTATATTTGAATTACAGTAGTCAACATTTGAAGTTGATCAAAAAAATGTAGGACTTTCTTTTAGATTAAGTGAAAAACGTGGCTAAATTACATGACTTCTTTAGGATTCACACTATATTTGAATTAGTCGACATTTAAAGTGGATCAAAAAAAAAAACATTCAGGGCTTTACTATAATTCAAATATAGTGTGAACCCTAAAGTCCTGCCAAAGCTGTGTTACAAACCTTGAATTGTTTGATCCACTTCAAATGTTGACTTTAGGGTTCACATAGTATTTGAATTACTGTAGTCAACATTTGAAGTGGATCAAAACAATTCAGGACTTTTAATACAGCTTTTGCATGAACAACAATTACGTGATATATTTCGCTAAATGACATGACTTCTTTAGGATTCACACTATATTTGAATTAGTCGACATTTGAAGTGGATAAAAAAAAACATTCACGGCTTTACTGTAATTTAAATATAGAGGAAACCTGAAAGACCTCATGCCAAAGCTGTATTAAAACCCTGAAATTTTTAATCCACTTCAAATGTTGACTAGGGTTCACTCTATATTTGTATTACAGTAGTCAACATTTAAAGTGAATAAAAACAATTCAGGACTTCTAATACAGCTTTTGCATGAACTACAATTAAGTGAAATATTTTGCTGAATGTCATGACTTTTTTTAGGATTCAGAGTATATTTGGATTAGTCGACATCGTGGATAAAAAAATGCAGGCTTTTAATACAGCTTTTGTGTGAATTTTGAAGTCTTAATAATGATACGAAATGACGTTATTTTGTTGATTTTAAGCCGTGTTAGAAAGTGACCAATCTTAAACGTCGAACCAACATTTCAAACCATGGTCATATTGACATCAAATACTGACATTTATTCATCAGGTAATCAAAATCCAACGTCTGATAGATGCCATAGTGGTAACAACCACACAACGTCAAGCTGTAACATCATAAGCGTTGGATATTTTGTTGTAGGTTGTGTTGGAAAGCAACCAAATTTCAACATCTGTCCGACATCGAGTTTTGACGTCAACCTGATTTTAATTTTCAAACAAAATGCAACGTCCCATGATGTTGGGGTACAATGTCAATCTGACATCATGTTGATGTTCCGTGGCAGTGGGTATGATTAAATAAAAAACTTCGCTAAATGACATGACTTCTTTACAGTAACTTATAGTGTGAACCCTAAAGAAGTAGTGCATAAGCTTATTTAGGGTTCACACTATGTCTGAATTACAGTAGTCAACATTTGAAGTGGATCAAAAAAGTTTTTCTAAATAGACTTACAACAAGAATGGATGATGTTCAATAGTTGATGAACGGGTTTGACCCACTACTACTATATTAATATGAGGCAGCAATTCTTTATCAATAAGGTTGCATTCTGTCAACTACTAGATAACATGATGTACAGTAGCGCAACACTTGTAAATAATAGTATAATTCTTCTTAATTTTGATATTCAGTAGCCTTTTTTAAACCACCCCTAAAAGCTAAAGTTAATGCACCGTCAAATACATGAACAATTTATAGGTTTATTCGAACATTGATGATTAATGAGACAGTGTTAGTATTCCACAAATGTATTTTTATAATATTTTATACAAGCAAATCGTAAAATAAAAATGTTTATGCATATAATAAATGATATATAATGACATTAAAAAGCCTCATTAATGCATTGCTAAAAGCAAAAGTATTTGGTAACTAGTTAATGCACAATAAAATACATGAACAATGATCAGTTGTATTTATATATTTATACAAACGTTAATAATTAACGATAGCCAGTAAAGCGTTAACAAATTACACCTTAGACACACATTACATTAGTTTTTATGCAAGCAAATCATCCAATAAAAATGTTTATGATTATTATGCATTTCTATATATAATTATTTTTTATATAAATTCCAATGATTAAATTCCAATTACAACTAAACTGAATTAAATACAGAATATTTAATTTGGTGTACAAATGTCTCCAATACAGCTATTTATACACAACACCCATGACTTTTCCTTGAATTATTTGAAAATGTGCAGAAGTACAAGTATTTGTTGCTGTATACCAATTCAACATTTAGCAGAACGTCCACAACTATTCATAAAAACTCCAGGAATGTCAGTCGGTATGACTTTCACGTTATTCATTTCTGGGCGGAGAACGTGATATACTCGCATATCCTGAGGAATGGTTGTGAAAACCTCAGTTATTTTCATTAATGTCAGGAAATTTCAATTCAAGGTATAGCAGAGGTTTGTAAGGCTATGTCTGCTTGTAATAAGCTATAGAACTGCGCCCCCAGCTGGCGCTCAGGAGCCGCACAACGTCACTGTAACTCATTTACTGGAAAAGTCTTATATTTGCGCTTCTCATCCAGATTACAAGAAACACAAGCGAGCTAAAATGATGATTCATCTAATTTTGTGTAAACTATTCCTTTAAAGCCGGACAAAGAATGCCTTGATTGAAGCTGAATGGTAGAAAATATAAACAACACCTTTCATATGTTTGTTGTCAGTAAGTAAAATGTTTTTTATTCACATCAATGATGCAAAAACTGATCAAAAGTGACAGTAAAGGTATTTATGTGTTTTTTAAACGACTAGTAAATGCAGCTCCTGTTTAGCAAGCAATCCTTCATGATGCTTTACACACAAATATTAAGCATTTTAACATTTTCTTAAGCACCCAATCATCATATTAGACTTGATTTCTGAAGGATCATGTGACACTGATGACTGGAGTATTGATGCTGAACAATTAGCTTGAGAAAATATTACATTTGTAACATGTCCTAACAACACACAACGTGATAAAAGGTATCTTTTCAATTAAAATGCTACAGTTTTTGTCGTAAGTGACCATCCGCGACGGCGAAATGCAAAATTTCTATTTTAGAAATGCTTCTTATTTCTGCGATGTTGCAGCAGAACAACATAAGCATGTACTAGGGCTGCACAATATATCATTTGGATATCGATATCACGGTGTGCACATCAGCAATCCACTTGTTTAGTGTGACGTCACGCGAATCATTTTTCGGGTTCAAGAGCTCTATCAAACTGCATAGGGAGGCGCAACAATTGGTAATAATAAAAGTTTACAAAGCGATGTAATACTTTCAAATACACACACAATATATATGTATATATGTTGTTGAAGTAGTTAAAGTCAAAATTATGAACCACCCTTTGAATTTTTTAAAGAAAATTTTCACAGTATGTCTGATATTTTTTCTTCTTGAGAAATAAAATTTGTTTTATTTTGGCTAAAATGAAAGAAGTTTTTATTTTTTTTTCCGACTGTCTACAGAACAAACGTTATACAATGACTTGCCTAATTACTCTAACCTGCCTAGTTAACCTAATTAGCCTAGTTAAGCCTTTAAATGTCACTTTAAGCTGAATAAAAAATGTCTTGAAAAATATCTAGTCAAATATTTTTTACTGTCATCATAGCAAAAATAAAATAAAACCGGTATTAGAAATGAGTTATTAAAACTATTATGTTTAGAAATGTGTTGAAAAAAAAATCTTTCGGTTATACAGAAATTGGGGGAAAAAAACAGTGGGGCTTATAATTCAGGGGGCTAATAATTCTGACTTCAGACTCTATACCCAGACTCTATGCTAATATCTAATGGTCAAAAAGTGATTTTTTTTTTTTTTTTAGAAATTAAGCAAATATTGGTGTCTGTGATGCAGCAATTCCAGAGTCTGTTGTGTACACCATGATTTTATAAAAAAACAAACAAAAAAACACTTTAACGTGTGATATGACAAAAAAAAAGTGATCATAAACAAATATTTTCTCAATTCAAACGAGTAGCGAGGACAGTCTTTATGTCACGACTAAAGCAGACTTAAGCGGTATAGTCACATCGCAAAGATATGCAATGTTACGTTAGGATTATAGCTGCTCAGAAGACACAAAATTGTATTTAATCACTGTATTTATAGGGAATTTATATGATTTATGCAACAACAAAGTTTTTATTTCTTAGAATTTCTGTCTTTGTCTCTAGTCCAAATATCTACATTTCAAAGCGAAAACAAGATTATTTAACTTACCACAAAGACGGATAATTTAGCTTGTTTTAAAGGAAAACTACTTTAATATTGCCTTATTTAATCTGGATTTAAAAAAAACAAACAAAAAATATTTTTTCTTGATGTAAGAATTCTTTTAGATATTTGGACTGGAATGTAAGAAAAAAATTGCATTGTGATTATTCAATTTTTGTACCTGAATACTCATCAGAAAAAAATCAAGTAGTGCTATTCATCTTGTGAAACTGTATTTACATTTAAGACAGTTAAATTTAAGACATTTTTAAGATTATTATGAATTAAATTTTTGACTTATTCAGGGCTAAATGCTAAGGATTTTATTCCAATATCCCAGTTGAAAAAGATTTTCACTTGCCATATCAAAAAGAATTATAATTTAATGCATTTTAAAATACAATAATAATAATTTAATAATAAAATATCTGGTCAGTGTCTTCAGCAGTAAATAAATAGAGACTTTTTAAACAAATAATTGTAAGAAAGTAATTAAATGCTATTTTTAAATAAAAAGTTAAAGGTTTTGTTGAGATTGTGGGTGATTGTGCAGGTGTAAATGGCCAGATTGGGTAGCTATACATCAGGGATCACCAAACTTGTTCCTGGAGGGCCGGTGTCCTGCAGATTTTAGCTCCAACCCTAATCAAACACACCTGAACAAGCTAATCAAGGTCATACTAGGTATACTTGAAACAACCTGGCAGGTGTTGATGCAAGTTGGAGCAAAACCCTGCAGGGCACCAGACCTCCAGGAATGAGATTGGTGGCCCCTGCTATACACAAACAAAGGAAAATTAAAACAAAGGACCCGTTAAAAAAAAAGATTAAAGACCTACAACACATAATTTCAGAAGATTTATGACTTTTTAAGGCCTACAATTTAGCTTTTAAGATTTAAGACACTTAAAAGCTTTTTAAGACCCTGCAGATACCCTGATTTATATTGCAATATATATAGCAGAAAAATATATCGCAATATCAGATTTTCCAATATTGTGCAGCCCTAGCATATACTATTGACAAAGATCACCTCAGGTACTGATTATGTGCATTATTCAGTTCTAAATGCTCTCATTATGAGTTTAAATACCATTTTGCGTGACATTTATTGCCATGCTACTGAAAGCACTACAATATAGCAGATAGTTCACCTCAGATGTTGAAAATTAAATAACAAGCAAACTTCTTGAAAACTAAAGTCAGAAATGTGACCAATAGCAACAGTCACTCGGTAGCCTATTATTAATGTTAAACAGCTTTAATATGTATTAATCAGATTAAAAGCTTTAACTATGTCGTTGGGAGTGCAGTGGCTGGCATTTAAATGTTTCTGTCATGTCACATCGGGTTTGGTGCAACCAAAGTTTTGTTTCGCCAAGCATGACATGTTCCTGAATCAACATTCCAATAAGAACTAAGGGACACGTTTTTACCATTCAAGAGTTCACACTTAGATTTGCTTGGCGCTAATAGCAGGTTTGGCTGTCCCGGGAGAGAACCCTGAGTTCAGAGATAATAGAGCCAGGGCTCCTGCCTGGTCAATAAGCATATAAGGAGGTCAGAGAACAAATGGTCTGAAGAGCTCCCCCTGGTAAAGGGAGGAAAAGGAGGAGATGGGGGGAAAGGGGGGAATTCTTTCAAAACAAAGATAAGGTAGTAGGGCAAATTCGGAACATTTATTGAAAGCTTGAATCAATCTGATTGGATTATTGCTAATTACGGATGAGAGACCAGCCGCAATCAATCATATCACGTGCTTTTATGGAAATTAGTTTACAAAACTTCACTGAATAATAAGTTTCGGTTTACAGTTATGTCTTTACACTTTTACATGATTGTTCTCCAACTATTAATCCACTCTGCCTTTGGGAATAATTTAGTTATGGCTGGGTTTAGGTGTAAGGAATAGGTGTGAACTACATTTTTGAACAAAACATTATGTTCCAAGATCAATATAGATAATAATCCAGGATCTTATCATACTTGGCAAAATCATGACGTGCTTTGGTGCAGACAGACAAACTGCTCGTCACTAAAATTGTCACATTGTGTGTTGTTAGAACACAATGTCAACATTCGAATGAACAAACAACCTAGTTTAATTTTCAATCTTTCATAATATTACACTCTAAAAAAGTCGAGTTGTCATAAACCAACGTCAGGTACTATAGTTGGGTTCTTTTTTTCCCGATTAAATTTCAATAAAGAATTTTAACTGACAGTTCCTTAAAGTTTTGTCAATATCTGACCCAAAGTTGGGTTACAACCAAACCTTTTTTGGTTGTACGAGTATTGTACTAATACTGTATTTTTGATAAACAGAGCCATGCAGAGCCGAATGATCTTTAAAGAAAAAAAAAAGTTGTTACTATGTTATTTAATATTTAATTCACAAGGCATGAAAGTACAAAAAGGTAAAAACATTTAAATAACATAAAACATTGATAAGTGCTTAATGGACACAAGCCTGATTTTTGTTCCTATTTGACACAGAAAACGTAAACACACACATACACACACACACACAAAAGTACATTTCTCATAATCACAGGGTGCTCAGAAACTCCTTTACCTGGAAAGACAAAAAAACAACAACAACTTCAAAACGCATTAATTCTTGCATAATGCATTATTCTTGCTCTGTCTGTGTAATACAATCAAATGCATGCAAAAATATGTGTTTATGCTCCACAAAGGCTGTAATACATATATATGCAGCTTTCTAGTGTGTCTAATCATGCATAATGTGCAGTTTCTGCATTATATAATGGCGCCTGTATTGCACCCTCATCACAAGACGCATTGCAGTTCTGCCTCATTTAACAAGCATCACTCACACTTTCACCCAACACACTGACGAGTGATGTGCTGGATTAGGTTAATGCAAAAACACAAATTCATTATTCACTCATCTTTTTCCAAGAATCGTGAAGCACGTGATGGCTGAATATTCAGTGTGTGCTTATAAAGGTCAAACATGCTCATAGAGGTCAGTCTGTATACATGTGTTCTTTAACATAACAAGCTGAAGGGCGTGTGTGTGTGTGTGTGTGTGTCGTACCTTCTCAATCATATCAGCGCACATCATGTTGTTGTCTTTAAAATCATCATTGACATCCAGGGTGAGAACGGGCACATCATTCAGATAATCAAAGTCCATACTGCACACATACACAGTCATGAGGGCATAAAACTCACCTATTTGTGCTTTTTCTATATTTACAGCAGGGGAAATAAGTTAACACACTACTATTTTTCTCAGAAAATATATTTCTAAAGGTGCTGTTGACTTGATTTTCACCAGATGTTGGTAAGAGACAAAGAAAGGCAAATATGCAAAGAAAACAAATCAAATTAGTTTACAAATGACGTTCTGTGTCATAAAATGACACAGGGAAAAAGTATTGAACACATGAAGAAAGGGAGGTGTAGAATGGCAGTGAAAGCCCAGACAGCAGCTGAAATCTCTTAGTAGTTCTTCAGCAACCCTCTGCCCTTCCTCAGTGTAAATTAATATTAGATGCTTCAGTCCAACATCTACATTAGCAAGAGGATAAGGATGAAACCAGGGTGGACATTTCAGCAAGACTATGGCTTCTTAATTCCAAGAAAGCAGAGAACGGATTCGTGTTCCTGTGGAGACCGGTCTTGCCAGGTCACCTCAGAAGAACGGAATCGGGAGACCAAGAGAACACAGACAATGACGATGACAAATAAGATGCTGCGTTCTTCCTGATGGTCACACGACCTTCACGAATTGTAACCGAAAATTATGTAAACATCACAGCATTTATGCAACGATTTATTGTTTTTTTCCCTTTTCACAATATATATAAATATATATATATATATAAATATATATATATATAAATATATATATATATATATAAATATATATATATATATATATATATATATATATATATACACTATGCATAAAGACCATTTATACCATTATTAGGATTTTCATGTTACTGTTTACTTCCACCGTTTCTTTTATGGAAAATTCTGAGATAAATAAGTGATCTCTCTGAACTTTAATAATAAATCTATATAAAATGCTGCGCTTCCCACCACCAGCCGCCATAACATCTGGGACTTCTAGAGCAAGTGCAGTGCTCAAGTCTGCATCTATGCGTCCTTGATATCAAGAACAAATCCGGAAACTTTCACACGTCCTCCGTTCTTGCGGTCTTGAGTTTTGGAGCTGGACTTTGGCTGTTAATGATGACGTTACACGAGAACATGAGCACACAAGTACGCTGAAGAACGCATATTGAGAAACAGCCAATGATGCTAAAGCCTGGTTTATACTCGACGCGTCAGCTAGTTCGGGTGGGAAATGTGGTATCATCGCGGAGTTTGCGGAGGTTTGCTTTGAGTGGGCGCAACATGATTTCAGTCGACGGAGCCCATAATTTTTTTTTTAAACTCGAGTGAACAATTGCATTTGATTTGAGTTGAATATGAACCACTTTGAAAAGATTTTGTCTGAAACAGTACGAATGTACAGACATCTTTATGATCTGTGATTATAGAGATCACCAGATCACCAATAATTCTTGGTTAGAAATTGCAACAGACGTGGGAAAGGAAGAAAGTTTTTGTTAAAAGATTTAGAAAAACCTGAGGAATAAGTTTGTTAAAGCCAAAAGAGGTCATGGCAAAAGTGGAGACCCAGGTACACCATTTTGGTGTTTTTCCACCATTTATAGGTTTTACACTAATGTATATGTTACAATTTTGAATTTAAAACATTTTAATAGTAACAAAACTATAATTAAGGAACAAATTATTTCTGTGATGACTGGAACAGAACATTTTAACCCATCAGTTTACAATATACTGAAGGCCTGTTTTTCTAGGCTTTATTGGTGATAATAATCAGGAATGTTTAACTATTATTGCCTTTTTAGCATAAGTTTAGGACAGAAACTATCCAGACAGAGATGTGTGAATTGTGGAGCAGGCTAAAGCTAAAAATCCTCTGTATTTTTTTAGTAAGCGTGCTGTTTTTTTTTTTTTCCCATAATAAAAATATATTTGTAGAGCAAACTATGTTCACTTGTCAATTTAATAAACTTAAATAGGTAAAACTGTCCAAGATATGAACAAAAGCAAATGATGCATCAAAGTTTGATTAAAAAAAAATCTTGAATGGTCATAAAAATCCTTATAATCATTAAAATAATTTATAAAAACAATAAAAATAATTAGTTAAAAAATCTTGAATGATATTAATGATATGGCGTGATTCCGGAAACTGTCTACTTCTCTGTTTATCTCTGTTACTTCCAGACGGACGTCTGATCGCCCCCTGTCATTTTAAAGAATATCACAACGGCAAACACGGCCAGTATAAAAGCCTTGTACATTTTGAGGGGGGAGCGCGCAGTCAGCGTAGGTGTGGGATGTGGCGCCAGTCAAAAGTATAAATCTAGCCTAACACAGCCAAGGAAACTCGAATGCTTTCAGAGAAAGAAAACAAAGCCGTAGAATGGCCCAACCAAACACCTGACCTGAATCCAATAGAAAATACTACTTAAAGATCCGATTTGACAAACGAGACCCACAGAAACATCCAGATTTTTACACTCTGTTGAACTCACACCTGAGCATTTCATGTGACTTCATTCTCCATGAGAGGCGTCTTTAAGCTGCCATTACCAAAAAAAGTCCTTTATATAACGTAATAATTACATTCATTAGTTCAGCAGTTTCTTCTTTGTCATTATTAATACACATATAATTTCTCTGATTTTTTTTAATGTTTGTATTTTTTAGATTTTTACCAAAATTTGGTTCAATAGCATGTCAACATCTCCTTTAGAAATATTATTCTCAGGAAAAAACATGGCATGTTCAGTATTTATTTCCCCCATAAACACACACACACACACACACACACACACACACACACACACAAACACACACACAAACAAACACACAAACAAACACAAAAACACACAAACACACTGCAAGATTATTTGGTGTCAAGGCTTTAGAATTTAAAAACTTTCATTATAATGGAAGTCAATGGGGCATAAACAGCCACCAACATAATGAAAGGGTAGTCAATTTGAACACTACACAAAGGTTAGGAATGATATAAATATATACAGTATATAGTGTTGTCTGTGTAGTACCTCATGGTTCTGTGCTGTAACCAGCACTCATGTTTATAATGCAGTTTCTCCAGATACTCCAAAGGAATGCCCTGCTCCTCCTCTCTTCCTCTTAGATGCAGTCGCTCCAAACACCTCTGTAACACAAAAACCTCTTTGTTTATCCAAACTATAATCCCCGGCACGTTTGCATCTCCCTGTCCAGCTGTGCCTTTCTACCTCTGGCTTCGCCCTCAGGTAAATGATGCCATCCAGCTCAATGTGCTTCCCGAACTGCTTATGCAGCCAGCTGTGCCAGTCCTGATAGATGGCCCACTCAGTCTCGTTCACACACTCGCTCTCGTACAGGTTAGAGGCGAAGATGTACCTGCAACACACACATCAGAGTGATTAAAAGACAAAGCCGATTACATGTGCGTTCATTTCAATTGGTGACATAATTGTTGCATAACAATAACAGAAATGCGGAGACGCTTTTGGTTTGATTACGGATGTTAATATTAGAGCTGGGTATCGATTCAAGCTTTGATTCCCGAACTCTTGGTTTGATGCAGTAATTATAGATTTAATACAAATCCTACTGATCTTTGTAACAGTGATCAGTGTGCACTATTTTAGGTGCACGAGTACATAAAAACAGAATAACCTTTATTTCAGATGCACGGAGTATAATAAAACATAAATAAATCATAAATAAAATTAAAAATAGCAAGGGTGGTTTTTAAGGTCAAAAACCTTCCATGTTATAAGAAATAATAAATGAAAAACTGTTGATTTATTAGAAAAAAAATTACACAATGGGGCGAAGCAGTGGCACAGTAGGTAGTGCTGTCGCTTCACAGCAAGAAGGTCACTGGTTCGAGCCTCGGCTGTGTCAGTTGGCGTTTTTGTGTGGAGTTTGCATGTTCTCCCTGCGTTCGCGTGGGTTTCCTCCGGGTGCTCCGGTTTCCCCCGCAGTCCAAAGACATGCGGTACAGGTGAATTGGGTAGGCTAAGTTGTCCGTAGTGTACGAGTGTGAATGAAAGTGTATGGATGTTTCCCAGAAATGGGTTGCAGCTGGAAGGGCATCCGCTGCGTAAAACATGTGCTGGATAAGTTGGCGGTTCATTCCGTTGTGGCGACCCCAGATTAATAAAGAGACTAAGCCGTATAGAAAATGAGTGAATGAATGAAATTATACACCTGGTGGTCATCATGTGGCATTACACCTCGTGTGTGCATTATAATTTAATAATAATTATTCATTCATTCATTTTCTTATCGGCTTAGTCCCTTTTTTAATCCGGGGTCGCCACAGCGCAATGAACCGCCAACCTATCAAGCACATTTTTACGCAGCGGATGCGCTTCCAGCCGCAACTCATCTCTGGGAAACTTCCACGCCTACATTCATACACACACTCATACACTACGGACAATTTAGCCTACCCAATTCACCTGTACCGCATGTCTTTGGACTGTGCGGGAAACCAGAGCACCCGGAGAAAACCCACACAAACGCAGGGAGAACATGCAAACTCCACACAGAAATGCCAACTGAGCCGAGGATCGAACCAGCAACCTTCTTGCTTTGAGGCGACAGCACTACCTACTGCGCCAGCTTTTTTAATAATTAAATCGACCTAATTCAATTATAGCTATTATTCTATTGTTTTGATGCATATTATATGAATCAGTAATCGCCAATTAGTACATAGTTTTAACTATACATAAAGCTGTAGCAGAACTCAGTGCTACAAGCTGATAAATAAATGAAATAACTGATATAGCTGATATAACTGTTAATGCACTCAAAACCTGCCAGGAACAACTTTAGCTGTGCATTAACGTAGAATGTTCATCAGCCAATCAGAATTGAGCATTTAACACCTCCATACCATAAAAAAACTACTCATGGACCCTTTTCACAAGACTGTTATGACGTGTTTTATGGTCACCAGCATCTTAAGTCCTTGGAAGTTTTTAATACTTAGATCTTTTTAAGAACATATAAACATTTATATGCATTTATGTGTGAATTAAATCATCTTTGCGTCAAATTACAAAAAAAATTACCGCTCATGTAAGGTGTATGAAATGCAGTGTCTGTGTGTGATGTTGTTCTCTCTTCTGGCTGCCGTTGTCAGTCTCACACTATTTATTTTTCCTTTTTCTGAAAGTCTTCATAACACCATCGTTGGGTTTTTCTTTTATTATTTCAGCAAATAGGATTGTAAAAAGTGTATTTGTTGTACTCTCCCATTCCCAGGCTCCAAGTTTACCCAACTATGACAACTTCTATTACTGAGAAACCCGGAAATGTGAAAAGGGTCAATTGTAAGTGTGCTTTCACACCTGTAGTTCGCTTCATTTGGTCCGGACCAAGGTCAATAAATGACAAATGATCAAAAGATGATTTTCTGCCGTCTTAGGGTCGTTTTCACACCACACTGCTGGCTTTGGTCCGAACCAGTTGAAAAGAACCAAAATGCAGTCATCTGACAAAATCCACTTCGCTCATTGGCCAGATGCTGTTGAACATAATTCCTAAACTGCTTATCGATTGGTCAGAATTCATGTGCGGGAAAATGCCAATGAACTCCCGCAAGTAAACAAACCGGCAGACACAAAATGTTGCTTTTTACTATGGAGCTACGACTGCGCTGACTGATTGTATCCCTACTTTAGAAAAACTATACATTTCGGTTGGGTCTGTTTTGGTTCGGATCATATTCTCACCACAAACGAACCGCTCCAGAGTTCGTTTGAAAGTGTACCGAGATCACCTTCTCAAGCAGGTCTCTACGCTTTTTTGGTTCGCTTTTGGTGCGTGCTCGAGTACGATTGCTGCATTCTCACCTGCCCAAGGGGGAAAACGAACTCTAGTGCGATTCAACCGAAATAAATAAGGCAGGTGTGAAAGCACTCTAAAACATGCGTTTTTGTTTGTTTTTAGCCCAGCTGTAGTTAATATCAGGTGTAAATGTTTTGAGTTGTTCACCTGTCGCTGTAGACGGATCTCTCGAAGAACTGCACCGGATCTTCGGCCTCTCTCAGCTTGCCGTTGGTGGATTTGATCTGCGAGCGGATGCGGCTCATGCAGGCGTAGCTCTGGAAGGTGTAGGCCCAGCGCTCCGGCTTCTCGTACATCATTTGCAGCACGTTTCCTCCGCTCTTCTGAGACGTGGTCAGCTCCTGAAACACACAGAGACACATGCTAGACCTGCACACCAAAAATATATGCTATATCTGTGTGCATTTAACAGGTATGGCAAAGATTATTAATCAATCATAATTATTTATCAATTTTAATTTTAAACATATTTTATTATTTATTTATTAAAAGAGATGTTTTTTTTCATTACTTTCTTTTACAAACTCTGTAATTCTGAAAAGGAAAAAATCTAATACTTACTTCCAACATCATATTCAATTCAATTCACCTTTATTTCTATAGCGCTTTTACAATGTACATATATATTTATATTATAATTATATCCTAGCCATACCACTTTCTCTCATTAAGTAACTTTCTTTTTTCTCTACTAATAATTAGTAATATAGGGCGACACAAGGTCAGAAGGTTGCTGGTTTGAGCCTCGGCTGGATCAGTTTGTGTGTGGAGTTTGCATGTTCTACCCGTGTTGGCATGGGTTTCCTTCGGGTGCTCCGGTTTCCCCCACAGTCCAAAGACATGTGCTTTAGGTGAGTTGGATAAACTAAATTGGCTCTAGTGTATGTTTGTGTGTGTGTGTGTGTGTGTGTGTGTGTGTGTGTGTGTGTGTGTTTGTGTGTGTGTGTGAGAATGAGAGTGAACCAGTACTTGGTTGCAGCTGGAAAGGCAACCGCTGTGTAAAACATATGCTGGATAAGTTGCCGGTTCATTCTGCTGTGGTGATCCCTGATGAATTCTTGATTAACTAGATTAATAAAGTTAATTGAAAAACATTCTTGCAACTGACTGACATTATATTCATTTAATAATAATAAGTGGCGAAGCAGTGGTGCAGTAGGTAGTGCTGTCGCCTCACAACAAGAAGGTCGCTGGTTCGATCCTCGGCTCAGTTGGCGTTTCTCTGTGGAGTTTGCATGTTCTCCCTGCGTTCGCGTGGGTTTCCTCCGGGTGCTCCGGTTTCCCCCACAGTCCAAAGATATGCGGTACAGGTTAATTGGGTAGGCTAAATTGTCCGTAGTGTATGAGTGTGTGTGTGTTTAGATGTTTTCTAGAGATTGGTTGCGGCTGGAAGGGCATCCGCTACGTAAAAACTGGCTGGATAGGTTGGCGGTTCATTCCGCTGTGGCGATCCCGGATTAATAAACGGACTAAGCTGACAAGAAAATGAATGAATGAATAATAAGTGTGTGAAGCAGCAGCTCTTCTGTCTGCTAATTCCCGAAGGACGGTAGTGTTTGGCAGAGCCGTTTCCATCGCAGCGCTGGATTACAGACCTGTTTATCAAACTCACACAACGTCACAAACATGTAACGTACAGTACAGCGACCGCAACTGTCATTGCATTAGAAAAATAAGTCATCAAAACAAATGTCACCTGCACTGCACAATTCATTTTAAACTACCTTTTGCTGCTTGAAAGTGACTCTTTCTATAATCCTTGTGCCCTTCCTTTATAGACTTTTCCAAGCATTCTTTTATAGACATTTTTTATCTTTTTTTATTTGTTATAACTTTGCTTGTTTTAAACGCAGCATACACTTTAGCAAAAGAGTGTATTATTTCAATTATATTATTTCCTCCTTATTTCATAAATTTATTTCACACAAGCTACAAAAATATCCCCAATGAAATCCCTTAAAACTCCCATATTTTATCCCAGTGTACAATTTACATTACATACAGGTATCCGCTTGTTAAGTGGTGACGTGTTTGTGACGTATGTATACTGTTTCCGGGTCCGCCATTCACTTGAGTGGAGAAATCATTCGTTTATGGTCACGTTTGATTCCTATCACACATTAAAGTTAATTTTAAATAAAATCATAGTGTACACAACAATCTCTGGTCTTGCTGCTTAAAAATTTACCAAAAATGTAACAATTTATAAAAAAAATTATCACTTTCTGGCCACTGGATATTAGGCATGGACTTATATACTGCCATCGTGATTTTCGAAAGCATTAAATCGCTTTGTAAACGTTTATTATTACCATTTCATGAGTCTCCCCATTCAGTTGAGTAGAGCGCTTGGACCCGGAAGCCGCTTCGTGTGACGTCACACTTAACAAGCGGATACAGTTTGTCATGTTTATAACATATTTGGCACTTTTTTTGCAAAGAATAAAGTATATAAGATACTTTAATAGTTTTATTTTGACATATTACATTACATTTATTTTGGCATCATCTTTGTCTTCTCTTTTAAATTGATGCACAAGTGTTAAATTAAACGTTATCTGATGCAAATAACTATCTAAAGCACTTAAAAACTATTTTTACTTTAAGTTATTAATCAGGGTTTCTGCAGGTTTCTTCAAGTCAATTTTAAGACTTTTTAAGGCCCTTTAAAGACCGTTATGAATGAGATTTTAGACTTATACATGGCTAAACACTAGGGATTTTTAGCAAGGGAACCATTGGACCAATACAATTGAAAAAACAAAACTAATCTAATTATTTCTTAACCACATATTTTAATGTGTCAAAAAAAAAAAACAACTGTTTAAACTTTATTTTCAACTCGTTTCCTTTTTTTAATGACAAGTTTAACGTTGTTAAAGGTATATTTAATATAAAGAAAACTACATGAAATAATCAAAAATATATACTTGTTTACTTTTGGTCCAAATGAACTGAGTATAACTCCTATTCAACCTAAAGCGTTTCTGTTATAAACCTTAAGCTTCATGCATATTTTTAAATATTATGTCCACTTACGCTTTCTTCTGTAGTTTTTTTTGTAAATTGAAGATTATGTAAAGGGATGTTTTGCTGTAATTATCATGAGGAATTGTGTAATTGCTTTTTCGTTTTCTTTCCCCGATTAGGGACTTTATTAAATAATTGCTGTAAAATATCTAACAACTGTTGTGAAATAAACACCTCTTTGCAATAAAAAATTTAATATATATATATATATATATATATATATATATATATATATATATATAAATGTGTGTGTGTGTATATATATATGTGTATGTGTGTATATATATGTGTGTGTATATATATATATATATCAGGGTTTCTGCAGGTTTAATCAAGTCAAATTAAAGACTTTTTAGGACCCTTTTAAGACCATTATTAGTTGAAGGGCAAAACATTAATATTTTTTTTCTAATGGTCTGGTTGGTTGCCACAAAAAATAAATAAATAAATAACGTAATTATTTCTTACAACATTTTAATGTGTCAAAACAAGAAAACTCTAGTTTTATACTTTTTGATGACAAGTTTAACATAATTAAAAGTTTATATATTATTTAGACAATGACATTAATAATCAAAAATATACATTTGTTGACTTTTGGTCCAAATTGATTGAGTATAATGTATCATAAAGTGATATGTTACTCTGTTATTATCATGGGGAATTGTGTAATTATTTTTTTTCTTTCTCTAATTATGAAACTTAATTAAGTGAAATTGCTATAGAAGTCAAACAGCAAGTAAATTAGATCTCTTTGCAATAAAATAAGTTTTGGATTGTTAATGGATGCCAGCCCGATTGGGTCGCTTTACTTGGACAGAGGAAAATTTGGAACTGTTTAAAATGATTAAAGATCTACAACACAATATTTCAGTGAATGTAAGACTTTTTAAGACACCCTGTTATATATTGTTTTTGTCTATTTTTGACTGTAAGTTACCTCATGGTCGTCGTGTTGAGTTTGTACATTGCACCATCTAGCGATGGGTTCTGGTACAACCTCCCATTCTCTATCATGCTCCTCCAGCAGGCGAACAAAAGTGGATTTACCCGCCGCTAAAGCAGGAAAAATATAATTAATTTAAAGATAATACAAGTTAAACTTCTTATACAACAGTCCAATATTCTCTCGATAACCACCAGAAACACTGCAAGCGGATATGAGGCGTTTAGGAATATTTACAACACAACTTCCGCAAATGATTTTTGGATCTTAAAATGAACATGTTAGTTTAAAATTGAGTTCCTTAAGAAAATTAACCTTGGTTTTAATATGGTGAAAGCACAGTAACCGTAAATCTTTCTATAATATTTTGCTCGAGCACAGTTATGTTAACGTTAACTAGCAAAACCAGTTCATTTGTGATAAGCATAGTACAAAACTACAAATAAATATAGTTAATTTGTGGTTAGCACGGTAAAAACTACGAAAAACGTAGTTAATTTTTGTAAGGCTCATTTCAAATATGGAGACAAACGAGTATTTGCAAGAAAATCTAGTCATTTGTAAAATTATATGTACACTAACATCGATATTTCGCTTTAAAATGTGTAAAAAAAAACAGCATTTAAAAAAACAATTCAGACTATTCATCTTATAACTAGACGTCAGAGTCTATTAAAGTTCGTGTACACTTCAATAAAGCGTTTAAGTGTTGCGTGCAGCAATAAATTACCCTCACTGTAACCTGACAAAGTTACAGCGAAAGACTCACCGATGTTGCCTTCAATGGAGATGCGCTTGAGTCTTTTCTCCAGGCTGTCATTCAGAGGACTGGGACAGGCTCTCTTGGCTGTTGGAGACATTTTAATCTTTATGCGATAATACTACAGAAATGTACACAAACTGGCGGTACAGTTACAGTCTAATGATCTGAATCAGGCGGGATGTCAAGTTCTGGCGCTTAACTGCAAGCCCGACCCACCGGAAACAGCTGCTTCAAACCTCATGCGCTTTATTTGTACGGTTGCTGCTAGAAGGGATACAGCTGTGGTCGGAAGTTAACGAAAAGAATTTATATTATTTATTAAATTAGGCATTAATTGTATTTTATTAACGCATACCATAAACCCAACCATCAAAGTACTGTAAAAATTGTAATTACGCAGAGCATGACTCTACTTTATTAAATTACCGATTAAATTGTATTTTATTAACGTGTACCTCAACCCAACCCTCACATAAATGTATAAATATTAATTATTGTTGTACCGAATCACAATTCATAATTTAAATATAAATTCTACGCAGATTTACAGAAGAGACACTAAAATGGCATTTAGTGTAACAAAAGTTTTTTACTGTAATAATAAAAATAAAAATATATTTAGTCAAAATTAATTCTTTGTACTTCGCCAGTATCACCAACTTTAAACCACCGTTTTACCCATTTGCCAGCAAAAATAAGTGATGAATAAAAAAAAATTATAATATTTCAACAACTTTGTTATCGGTCAACAAGTGATATAAATCTGTCTTAGGTGAAGCTCACACACACATATACATCTGTTTTTCCCGGGAGTCTCCCGTATTTCAGACCCATCTCCCGTTTTGTTCTGTCTCCCGGAATTTCAACTGCCTTATCCTTCATATCATAGATTTAACAAGGTACTGGAAATATTCCTCAGAGGTTTTGCTCCATATTGACATGATAGCATCAGGCAGTTGCTGCAGATTTGTCAGCTGCACATCCATGATGCGAATCTCCCATTCCACCACATCTCAAAGATGCCCAATAGGATTAAGTTCTGGTGACTGTGGAGGCCATTTGAGTACAGTGAACTCATTGTCATGTTCAAGAAACCAGTCGGAGATGATTCGCGCTTTAAGACATGGAATGTTATCCTGCTGGAAGTAGCCATCAGAAGATGAGAACACTGTGGTCATAAAGCGATGGACATGGTCAGCAACAGTACTCAGGTAGGCTGTTGTGCCTCAAGGTTGGACATGTTGTGTGTTCAGAGATGCTCGTCTGCAGACCTCAATTGTGATGAGTGCTTATTTGAGTTACTGTTGCGTTTCTATCAGCTGGAACCAGTCTGGCCATTCTCCTCTGACCTCTGGCATCAACAAGGCATTTGCGCCCACAGAACTGCCGCTCACTGGATATTTTCTCTTTTTTTGGACCAAAACTCTAGAGACAGTAGTGCATGAAAATCCCAGTAGAACAGTAGTTTCTGAAATACTCAGACCAGCCCTTCTGGCACCAACAACCATGTCACGTTCAAAGTCACTTAAATCACCTTTCTTCCTCATTCTGATGCTCTGTTTGAACTGCAGCAGATCGTCTTGACCATGTCTACATGCCTAAATGCATTGAGCTGCTGCCATGTGATTGACTGATTAGAAATTTGCGTTACCAAGCAGCTAGACTGGTGTACCTAATAAAGTGGCCATGAGTGTGTATATGCATGTATACACTTTTACACATTTGTCAGCAAGAAAGTGTTTAATAACTCAAAATATAATACAATTATGATTAATCTCTGATTCTGTTATACAGGTTAATAAGTGCAGATCAGAAAATTATTTGATTTAATATCTGATGGAAAACAATCAGATACATATTTTTATATAAATTAATCATAATTTTACATTACACCTACATTTTTTGCAATTGCATTATTTATTTGTACATAATATCACTGTTGTGAATGTAATTAGATGATAAAAATACATTAAAAAATTACAATAATACAATATGTTAAGAGAAGGGATTTTATTGGCTCTATTTACAGCAATAACAGCAGCTAGTGATATTGTTTTAATAAAGTTTAGCTAGTATAATAATCATCAGGAAATCAGAGAAATCTGCAAGTATTTACATATCTAATCTAACCCAATATTATTTTACAATTCCGGGAAAATATATTCTCATTTCAGTGACAAAAAAGCTCTATAAATACATCAAAACTGTCTCATATTAATCTGCGGTTGGCACTTTTACCATTAAACCATTAAAAGTCAAACAATTACATTCGTCAAACAACATAAACTCTTCAACATAAGCCTAAACCGAACAAAAGTATGTCAAACACAACAATAAAAGTGTTAATATAAGAACAGATATGAAGGGGGAAAGAAAGGAGGTAGAAAAGAAAAGCCTGTTAATCTAATCCTAACAATCTAATACCACCAAAAACCATAATATTTCAGAACGGACTATTAGCATATTTCAGATAACTCGACTCTCATGCAACTGAAATACTCCAATAATTAAACAGATATAAATAATTGAGCAAATTCAATGCTTTACGAACAGAAACTGAAATAGGCTTGTGCAAAAACAAGCGTCTTCTCCGAGACTCTGAGCTATTATTATCATCATACATTTCTTTTTGCCACACGGTGTAAGATATGAATCCCCATCAGCCATTTGGGTCCAACAAAGCAGCAATTCCAGCATGCACAAATCATATTCATATTCACTGACTAACGTAAACCTTCATAGCGACCGATATTAAATCCACAGAACGAGGAGACGAGCTGGAAATAACTCTGATAGGAACGGTTCCGTCCAATATTATCAGTAACAACATTGGTATTGCATAGGAAAATAGCTATTCAACTCTTATCATTTCTCTTGTATTTTCACTGCTGAAGAATCAAACAGCTTTTAAAACATTCACACTAGCCGAAAGAGTGCAAATCACTTCTACTCCTGCTTTTCAGTGACCAAACGAATCTAAAATGACTTGAAGAACTGAAAAAAAACATCCAGGCATTATCAAAAAATGCCAACGATGCATCTTGAAGTGTTAGTATTGTGCTGTAAGTTGACTATGGTTTGTCTAGCATTGCTGTGGGGTTAAAACCATCTGTACTCTAAGCAAAAATAAAAAGGACAGAAGGGAGAGTGAGAAGAGAGAGCAGGACCACTGGTTTGCTTCACGGTTTACAGGTTTTCTTGTCTTTTTCTCGGTTTATCTGTCTTTCGTTGTGAGTCTCTCGATCAGCTCTTGAAGGGGTGCCAGCTCCTTGCGGTCGATCAAGTTAAACTCCTGAAGCAGATAAAACATGCAGTGTTTATTACATTTTTGAAACATCAAATAATAATAATAATAATAATAAAATTCTGAAGAAAACATCCTAAAAAACAGATTTTTAAGACATAAACTCTGAAATCTGTTGGGAAAACTCTGCCAAAATTCTGCAAAATGCAGAAAATTATTTATTTGCAGCAAATACAGTTTAAGTCAGAATTATTAGCCCCCCTTTGATTCTTTGATTTTTTTTTCTTTTTTAAGAATTATGATTAAGAATTATTATGAAAGAATTATTTCTTTCCCAAATTATGTTTAACAGAGCAAGGACATTTTCACAGTATGTCTGATACTATTTTTTCTTCTGGAGAAAGTCTTATTTGTTTTATTTCGGCTAGAATAAAAGCAGTTTTTAATTTTTAAATAACATTTTATGGTCGATATTATTAGCCCCTTTAAGCTAAATTTATTTTCGATAGTCTACAGAACGAACCATTGTTATACAATAACTTGCCTAATTACCCTAACCTGCCTAGTTAACCTAATTAACCTAGTTAATAGAACAGTTATAGAAGTGTCTTGAAAAAGATCTAGTAAAATATTATTTACTGTCATCATAGCAAAGATAAAGTAAATCAGTTATTAAAAATGAGTTATTAAAACTATTGTGTTTAGAAATGTGTTGAACAAATCTCAGAAATCGGGGAGAAAATAAACAGGGGCTAATAATTCTGACTTTAACTTTATATAGCCTGAACTCAGTTGGAAAAACTGAAATTTTAAACTGTTGAAATAAACTGAATGTCAAGATGTAATCTCCGAATTCTGCCTAAAAAAAAACTAACAAAAAAGCATTAAAATACAGAATGATAATGTAAACAGAAAAAAAAACTGCATGACAAGATCAAAACTCAGAGTTTTTTGAGTGAAAAACAAAAACAAATGTGTGACAAAAACTGAGAAACTTTAAACTCTTTTTGGAAAAAAAAAATAATCCAAAAATTGCAAGGCACGATATAAACAAAGAGTTCTGCAGAAAAAAAGTCTGAATTATAGTATATAGACTCTACAGACCCAGAAGGGACGTGATGGTGGGGGGGGAAATAGGTGGAAGAAAAAAAAATGAACAGGAGAAAAAAAAACAGAGTGATGGGAAGATTTCCATTTTGTTTTTACTTAAAACCAAAGGACTCAGACTTGGACTCTAGGCAAAAAAATCTGATCAGGACATCCATACACTAAACCACACTAGGCTATTGATGACAACTTCCTCAGAATTCTACATTAAAAAAATAAATTCCCAGATACAGTTCTCGGAAAAAAGGGATAATTCTGAGATAAACAAAAAACCCAAACCTTTTCTGTTTTTAAATTCAATTTACAGAAGCAAGCCTCCATTCTAAACAACTTTGTGGTTATATATGGTTTTAGAAAGTTCATTTCAAGTATAAAAGAGGAACAGCACCTGTACAAAGAAGATGAAGTGTTTGAAAGAGGTGTTGAGGTGAGCTTCCTCCTGAAGCTGCATCACGGCGTCAAAGTGCTGATGATAAATATGAGCATAAACTCTGAACAAACGCTTCAGGATTGTCTTGGCCACAGACATGAAGTTCTTGGGGAAGGGAACACCTGGAAATGAGGGACAGATGCTGTTAAATATCACAAAACCAACAAACAGCACTTTGTGGAATAGGTTGTGCGATATTTACAAAAAAAAAAAAAAACTCTATACATCAGGAGCATTAACAATAATTAAACAATATTTAGCTGTTGTTTTTGCCTGTGATGGATAAATATAACAGTAAAACGACCAGTAGATGGCAAAACTGTTCTGCCTAAATTCATTAAATCCTTAATTAAATAAA